TCGCTACCGACCTGTTTGATGTTGAATGCCTACTGGAATCTGTAAAGCTCTACAATGGGACTGCTGCCACCCACCTTGAGTAATGAGGTCGAAATCTCAAGCATTATCTACCCCTAGCCGGGACCCCATGCGAGCTCACGCCCTACGCTACCACTGATTATTTAGGGCTACCAAAGTACTTTGTAGTTCATTGTCATTAAACTGTAACAGTTGGGAGTCTCGTGTAATCGGCATCGCCACGACTAGCCGCCTTACGTCGAAATCGAGCACGGAATAACAATCGAGCCGTGGGAATCTGCAGTCAAACGCCACAATTATGAAACGCCTACACCACTACTGAGGATGTTTTCACCTAGAACTAAACCTGCAACTCTGGCATTATAACAAACCCGCCCATGTGAATGTGTAACGGCTGTTGCGTCGTATGCATGTCGTTATGACGCTGCATTATGTTATTCAATACTGACATTTAAATACTACATAATTATAGAATTAACCTATTATATAATTTGTTGTTTTCTTTTTTTATAAAAGATATTGAGCGCACGAGCGGTAACAGAAACGCGTGACAAATGGAGCAATCTACTGAACAATGTTTGGCATTGGAATGCGTCATAGTGGAGCATAGCCTACAGCAAAGAGTATAATGAACTTACTGTGTAAAATTGAGCACACCATATATGCAAAAACTTATGGAAAAACTTTTGTGTTTTTTATGATTATACGCACTAGACATAATACACATTTTATTATGTAAAGAATAATGTATATAAATAATTTATACATATAATAATTTTATAACTATATATTTGTCTAATATGTGCTGACAAACAGTGTCTACAGTATAATACAACATTTATCCATGTACATGAATTAATCGTAAATAAGTTGATAGTATAATGTCTTGTAAGCCAGGTTGGGATATAAAAAATAATTTCTCCTGTCCTAAATATTTTTGCTGTAAAGCTAAATTCATATTTTTACACCAGTATTCACGATTTAAGGTAGAATTCACTTTGTGGTATTCATGTTTATCGGAAAACTACATAGTGCCCAGAGAGCTATTAATTCATCTGCTCATGCGATGTTGGTGATATTGTCTATGAATAATGGCGATAGCTAGTGACTAAAACATAAAAAAGAATTGAGTAACACTTGACTGTAAGTTAGTAAACTCGATATTTACTGACGTTGTTAATATACAATTTCCAGAATGTATAGTGCATTCTATCTTTGTAATATGTACAAAATATTTGTATTATAAATATACTGTACTAGTTTAAATTTAGTTCTAGCATAACAAGAATATTAAATTCTAATTCTTTTAATACAATATAAAAATCAATCTCTTTCAATCTTTCAAAATATTTTTTAACTCTTAAAAGGAAGATGCGTACTTATTATATTAGCTGCATTACCTAACATACATCCAAGAAATACTTTGACTAATGAGGAATCTTGTGGAATCCTATAAAATAGTTTTTTTTTGTTTGTTTTTTGTACACATTTCCATACAACTTAATTTAACTTTAAAAGTTTAACAGTTTAAACTTATCTGATGTTATTCAACAGCATTATTCCGTTAATGATGTCAGTTTGTGTGAAATTATGCTTATATATGATGAAATATACTCATTTTACTGTACTTTATAGTGCAAGTAAAATATGCATCAAAACCAGCCTATTAACAAGTATCAAGTTCACTTATATACATATTATCACATTTTGTTGTTGGCAGCATTGTCAAGTAGAAGATTTATAAGACAAGAACATTGCACTTGCGAATTTCTGTGAATTTCACAATTTCAATAAATATCTATGAAATGTGTAAATATAATGTTTCATATACCTATTATAATTCTTGTGACATGACATCACCTGGATGTTGATAAGACCAAGATATGCCCGCATCATGTTTTACATGTCTTGAACTGATTATGAAAACGTTTCACATAAATACTGAAATAATTTTAATTCACATCTTATATAGAAGTTCTACCTACAAAAGTATTACTTTATTTTATCTTCATTATAAAGATGTAATTAGCGAATTAGCTTAAAAATATATATAAGTAAGTTTGAGGATCAGTCAAAAAGTAATTCCATATCAGATAAAATTATTAAATGCAATAAAACTAATAAATTCATTTATATGTTGATAAGAAAACGATATTGAATACCTACCATTATTGATTTAGGGTTTTTTTTACTTTTGTAATGTTTTTTTTAAGTACTTCTGAGAAATACTTTAACTATGGTACTTATTCTCTTGGATTTTTAAAAGTTGAAGGCAATATTAAAGGCAATATTTTAGAATTCAATTTGGTGCTTATTGTATAATTGCTATTAAAACTGGTTTTCGTGGCGAAAAAGACATAACTGTTTTTTTTTCGTCCAATAGAAAATTGAAGAAATCAAGGATTAATTTCTTTTTGAAACTTGTAATATAATATTGTCCCAGACTCCACTCACCTCACTGAAGGCCATAACTCTGGCCGGGCTCTTACTCCGTCCGACCTTCTCAATTTATTTATTCACGATGTGTATCAAAACAAATAGTTCATGCTTTTGTTTTCCAACATTGGAAACAGTCCCGACATCTAGCATTCCCTCGACACAAATACATCTGAACTGAGGATAGAAGACACTCACTGCGCATGAACAAAATTTTAACTTTGACCAAAACTAAAACACCTGACCGAATCACAACTCACTGAAAAAACCAACATTCCTCAGGTGGGTTAACAGCACGTCTAACTAGTTACAGACACTTTATAATTATTTTCGACTTTGACACTACTCATAGATTTTTTTCACATTACTTCGACTTGTTAAATCATTACGAGATAAGTTCGAAAAATGACATCAAACGTGTGAATTATCACAGAGGACCATCAAACAGAGATGAACTCGCCATCTTGCTTTCATGTCATGTCGTAACCAGAAGTGCCAACATAAGGAAATCACTTTTGTCGCATTTCATCTATCATGGCGGACAATCTAAGCATGTGCAGTAGTATGAAGTACGCTGAGCTCTATTTCAAAATCGATCAAGTTAGAATTTAAAAAATACGGCTTATAAACTACTTTACGACTCAGTGAGCCCCCTTAAAAACAGTATACCTTACACTGATATTAATATAGTGGTTAGATTTGAAAAATAAGAATTACACTGAGGTTTATCTTTGATGTAGATTGTACACGTGCTGACATCTAACGGAAAACGCATTAAGCGCTATGGAATAGATGTTCTGTTAAATTAAAACCAGTTTTATTTTATATCTTAAAAGATAAATAAATGACAATGGCAATATGCATTTATTTTCGTGACACTTTAATAAGTTAGATTTGATCTAGGTAGTTAGTATACATTGCATGTAGATATTTTCTATGGATTTAACTTTTTGCACTATATTGGCTGCGATAACTTGTATGGATGTACGAATACCGGAAATCGGACCATCGGCTTTTTATTATTACTGTTTAGTTGTTTAGACGAACTTACGGCCCATCTGGTGTTAGGTAAGTGGTTACCGAAGCCCAGATATTAAGAATCTAAATGCCGCCACCTACATTGATAAATGAGTTCTAAGTCACAATGTTTATAATACAATGACTGTCCCGCCCTTCAAATCGCAGACTATTACTGCTTTACGGCAGAAGCAGGGGGGGTGCCACCTATCCGTGCGGGTTCACAAGACGCTCTACCACCAAGTAATATGATGAGTAAATTTATAAACCTACTTTTTATGATCTTGACAGAGTGGACGTGATGGTCATGTAGTGTTGAAGGGACCAGACTTAACACGTCTCACGATGTGCCGGCATCTCTCCCTGCTCGATTTCATCCTGCTGTACCGTCCACTGTATTTTTGTTTTGGTCGGTCCACCACATTGCCTCCCGCGCGGTCTTGTGTCTTATTAAGATTTATGTATTAAATTTAATAGCTATGAAACTTCTCGCCACACTATGTACTCTCCACGAGACGCCGGCTCCACGAAAACCGGCGGTCGGCAAGTTATACAAAGCCCGCCTAAACGCCAATTCATGTCCCGTGAACATTGTTACCTACCTGCGGTATGTTAATACCGGTATAGGAGCTTATCTCGATACGCGTCACTCCTTACGTCGTATTCCTCAATGCTGAGGGTCGTGACCACTCTCCTATATCACTTTCTCTTGCACAATTTTTCTTCATCTGTTTTTGTCTCAGGCGGTGTGGAGGCTGTTGTGAAATGTGGAATCAAGAGCGTTGCGGATCTGGTCTGACCAAAGTTTATTTTTTTTGTGATTTAAGGATTACTGGTGGCCCGGAGGCCTTTCCAGTTTCACCAGGACAGGTGGACGAGCAAAAGCTCAGCCAGGAAGGACCAAAGTATATACCTACCTATACGAGTACACTGGACGTCTTATTATTTAGAGCACCACTTCACATCTTGGGTCTAGGCCATTAGGTCTCCTGGGTATTACTAACATTATGTTGATATTTATATTTTTAAATTAATTAATTAATTATTCTCATTTATTGACAGGTGCATTACATTACCTTGTCGATAAATTTGCTGTTTAGTGGTAATCGGAATACCAATCAGATGCCACAGCCTAACACACATACATAATATGTATTTCACTTCTACTAAACTATTAATAAAAAAAGAGGGATTTACGTCTTTTCAACTACAACATTCGATATAGCATTTTTAAATAAAGAGAGAAACTTTTTAACGTGATCTAACTATTTCTCGATGACCTTGTGATCAAAACAAGATGTGATGAGCCCCCAATCAAAGTATGTTACGACTATTCTATGTTATTATTTCTCTATGGTTATTCAATTTATTGCGATCCTCTTTAATTACAACAACTGAATTCATAACAACAGATGATTTAAAACTTACGTCATTTCATAATCACTACTGTCATATAGCGTTTACAGAGCTTACGTAATTACAAAATTAACGATGGCCTAAATTTTGATTACTAAAATTCTATGTAGAACATTACCTAAAATAAATGAGTAATAAGTTTCATGTTGCCCACGTCATTGCTTATTGAACGCTGACCCGGTCACAAAAGGTAGGCATAATTCAGGCTTATTAATTTCCGCGCAACAGCAATCTACATGCTTTGAAGAAATTATATCTAATCCGTATTCCAGAGTATCAGTTTTTATTCACATTGTCGCTCTCTTTCAAGTTTAATATAAGTTAGATAGAGATAGCAATGTACTGAAATATCTAAAATCTAAAATCGAAAGCTGAATCAGACGCTTTTGCCATGACGTCAACCGTGCAGGTGCCAGGCGGGAATGCGCGCGGATACCTCGCAAATAGCCAAGGACTCCCAATGTAGGTTACATTAAAGTAGGTTATTGCACTCCTCGTAACAAACTTAACGAGCCAGTCCGTTACCTGCTGTTGAATTCAGTCAACGTCTCTAATACGATCGCAAAATGACTGACAAATTAATTAGTTTCAGAAACGTGAAGGTAGAACGAGATCCATGGCTGTAATGATGGAATTAGAGGAAAGTGTATCAGACTCCAAGCTCCACAAAGAGAGTACGGCTAAAAAAGATTTAAGGCCTTCTAGCGCTATCTCGTTTTCTAAATCTGATCATGGCCCAGGTGCGTGATGCATTGTTTCTTTAACTTATCTTCGTATACTTGATAAAGCGGGCAAAGACTTATTTAATGCTCATTAAATTTAATTTCATTATCCAGGTGATCAAATTATTTTGAAATGTTTCAGAAACAACTTCATCAACGGAACAACTTCGTCAGTATAAAAGTTGGGTCAGCAACGAAAGGTGGAATGAATTGAAAAAGATCGCGGAAACAGCGATGAAACAACGTAAGGTTTTCATGATTAAAGGCGGCGGTTTCCCAGCAATCCGTCGGGCCATGCTTGAACGAGGCTGGGTAGAAAAATATGAATCCCATAAGGTATAATAATATCACCATCAATCTACATCTCATACAGACCTTCCTTACTCCTACATTCCTTAATTTGTTAACAAACACGGTATTAGTTAGCTAATAGTCAGTGAACAGTTTAAATATTGCCATTATGCGTTACGAAATTATTAACTGCGTATTTGAAACACACATAAATTTAAGCAAATTATACATTCTTCTTTAAAGGTACGTCATCCGCCAACAAACGTAGATCCTAAAAAAGCGTCTGGCAAAGAGCTCTCCAAAGTAGAAAGAATGATACTCTACAAGTTCATGGAACATCACTCTGTTGATTTTCTATGGACGACCAAACGTGATAAATATGATTGGTTACTTAGTAACAAAGATGTCATGATAAGCAGGTAGGATTTATAGTTTCCTGTTTACATACATTAAATTAATGTGCTGAATTTTCAGTTGTATAATTTAGTTTAGTTTTTAGAAGGATATTTTTTAATAATCTCTTCAATAGATTTTGTAGATCCGTGTTCACGACGAAAGAGGGTTTAACTGCTTCGTTGACGCAAATGCATTGGCACACTGAGCCTGGGATTGCACTTACGAAGTTTCCACGATGCTACAATATACACAACTCGGATAGCCTCGAAGAATTCGTTGATGACTTTAGGATCACGGCCTGTATCAGCGTTCTTAAATGGCTTTGTAGTACTTTACAAATCAATGGAGAACAAAATCTAATTTCGAATCAGGGGAAAGTTCCTTTCAGCGCCATTGAATTTGCCACCAGTAGACTAAACGAATATGTTTTGTTCTTTACACATAAAGACATCGATGATACAGAGGAACAAGTCCATGTTTGGGAACACGAATGGGATCAATTCTTAACTCACCATTACCTTCTCGTGCACGAAAAAGCAAAGTTTAGCAATGATAACAATACAAGTATAAGGTATTTTTCAATTACCCGCATTTACGAACAATGTACCTGAATTGGTTAAAGTCTGATTTTAAACGTTTTCATTACTCGAATTGATAATTTTAGGCAACTCGAAAGAAAAGCGTCTAAGGTTTTAACTACGATGAGCAAGTTCTGGCCTCAAATCGATATTGATGGTGTGCTCAATATTTGGATCGTAAAGCCTGGTAACAAATGCCGAGGTAGAGGTATTCAGCTCATGAATAATATAAAGGATATAATTGGCTTAATTAATATTCCTGTACAGAAAACAAGATATGTTGTGCAAAAGTACATTGGTAAAAGAACATTTCAGCAATATTAAAATTTCATTACGTATTTCATTAGAAAATAACGCCAATTTCAACATTTTAATTACAGAAAATCCATTAGTGATTTACGACACAAAATTCGACATAAGGCAGTGGTTTCTGATCACTAACTGTCAACCGTTAACAATATGGGTTTACAAGTAAGTTTTCAGATTGGTTTTTCTCGTTTTTCAGCTTAAACGGTTTTGACAATAATGTTTTATTTCAGGGACAGCTACCTACGATTTAGTTCACAGATATTCAGCCTCTCTAACTATCACGAATCGGTTCATCTAACCAACAATGCTGTTCAAACGAAATACAAGAATAATGAGGACAGAGACAAAGCTTTACCCGACGAGAACATGTGGGACTGTCACACGTTTAAGGCCTATCTAAAGTATGTATTCCCTTCGTTTGTTTTCCATTTCCTTTTAATAACATACCCAAGACATTGGATCAACATAGAATACTCTTTGAGGCTATTACTTGACCATGTACTAGTCGCTAGTCACAAATAAAGGATATACTATTTATGTTAAGATCTTAATGATAAATTAATAACGACACACTAGTGACGATAAAAACAATTATTTATTTGATTTCTTAGACAGATCGGTAAATATGAACTATGGGACACTAAAATATATCCTGGAATGAAACAATGTTTGGTTGGAGCAATGTTGGCCTGCCAAGAAACAATGGATAAGAGACAGAACAGCTTTGAGCTTTACGGAGCTGATTTTATGCTTACTGAAGACTTTACACCTTGGCTCATTGAAATTAACTCCAGTCCAGATTTAGCACCTACTACTTCAGTTACGGCTAGGTTATGTCCTCAGTGTCTAGAAGATGTAATCAAAGGTAAAGGTTCTCCTTAAGTTTTTCTTAATATTTTTCATTTCTATGACGACTTGTCTAACATATTACCGTTTTAGTTGTTTTAGATCGCCGCTTAAATCCAGATGCTGACACAGGAACTTTTGAGTTAGCCTACAGGCAAACTATACCGAAAGCACCGGCATATCTTGGGTTGTCACTTTGTATCAACGGTAAAAGACTTTTTAAGAAGTCGAGAGAGAAAAAGCATGATACGAGAAGTATTACACCGGTAGCACCACGAGAACCAGCTGGCGATACCATTCCCGATGCAGACCTACCCGTTCCCCCCGAATATTCGGGACCTATTATCACGGATTTCCTCAGCTGGTTAAACCCTTATGATGCTCTGCCCTGTAATAAGGATGGTATTTTATTAGGTCCCAAAGATTCATTGACGGTACGCCAAGCAGTAACTGTAGTTAAATCAGGTATCACGTTTAAAAATGGTACAAAAAAGCGTAAATCATCCGCGATCTCTTCTAGGACACACCGAGGAAGAAAAGAAAAAACGGAATTTAAACGCCGTATTGTTCCACATTCGTGCTGTTTGGAAGATAATACAACAATAAATAATAACGGCAAATATCGGACAGAATCAGCAAGACGAATTGAGAAGCCGAAAACCGAAAAATCTGTTGGAAACAAACGCTGTTACATAGACCCATCTGATTGGGAACGAGAAACGGCTAGTATCCTCAGATCCACAATATCAGTACAAAATAAACAAGCAAATAAAACCGAAACAGCTTTAACCTTTCGTCAAACCAAATCTAGACTTAACGCGAAAACTAGATCATCATTAGATTTATATAACATTCGAAACGGCGATGACTCTGATCCTATCAAAAACTTAAGCGCAATTGGTACGAATATTTGTAAATTACGTGATGATGGTAAAAATGTAAAATCAATTTCTTTCTCGAAGAGTTGTACTTCAATATATGCACCATATAGAGTGGTAGTCACTCCTCTAAACGATGTACCTGTTAATGCAAATTTTAAAAGAAAAAATACATCTCAAAGATGATCTTCAACAAATGAAATTTATGTTATTGTTACTGAAGCTTTTGAACGTATAATCTTAAGTAATGTTAAGACACTTGTTGAAAGATAATTGAAAAAATAAATATACACAAACATAAAGCATGTTTTTACGAATATTACTTTAATATAATATTACCCCTTTTGTATTCCAAAATACACCTATATTTGGTAACTAATTTCAACCACGACGAAATAAAGGCGATAGTGGAATCTGACAATACTCAATCTACCGTTAAGTTAGCAACAACTTTCAACGGTAGTTTGGTATCATAACAATATTGGTCAATGGCGTTGCTTAACAGAAACGAAGAGATTTTGAATCGCATTGTCACTTGCAATGAAAAATCGATTATTATTGATAAATTGGTAAGCGGTCATCATGTTAGTTAGACCGTTGGTTCCTTCAGTGCCTAGGCAATGCCCCAAAGGAAAACTTAGTCGAAAAAAGTCATAGTTAATGTTTGATGGTCTAGTCCCGTTACAATTGATCACAGCTTCTTACCAAATGAAACCAGAATTACTGCGAATATGTATTGTGAGGAACTGGAGACAATGATGGAAAAGTTCGCAAATCTCTGGCCAGCCTTATTTAATCCCTTGTACCGCACGCTACGACCACGCTAGACCACATACCCGGCGCAACAGACGGTCTTTAAGCTACAAGAGCCGGGGTTGGAAGTTTTGCGTCATCCACCGTACTTAACCAGACCTTGCGCGAACAGACTTTTTACAAAGCTTGGACAACTTCATGGCAGGGTAAAAGTATTTACCTGAGAGGCAGTACAAAATGAAGAGTTTGTTGGCTCCCGTACACCCGACTTCTTCAAGAAAGCATTGGATAATAACCAATGAATAGCCCCCTAGGCTACCAGCGAAAAGGTAGATAAAAAAAAACACCTCAAGAAAACGAAGAAGTGAATAGTGATACTGAATTCAACCTTCATTGTTATGTACCTATATAGGTATGCCTTTATTATTTATTCGTAGGTATGCCTACGATCACGCAGTTTTCATTATTCGATCTATTTCTAAAATAAAATCTCTTTGAATGAAATATCACAGATAGTAACACTGTTTTAGAAATATTGACATTAATTGACAAGAACTTGACGTTGGTACATGAAGAATATGACGATTAGACTGGAACTCACATAACAAAAACAGTAAAATAAAATAAAATTAAAATGATTCCAGTGCATGGTTGGTTCGATTATACAAAGTAATTTGGTGTTTTTTTTTTAAAACAACTTTATATTTCTTTAGAATTGTAACAACTATCCAATGATTATTTTGTTAGCATCAAAGGCTTTATCACTCAAGGCTCTCAGCTTAGGTAGGAAAAAATTGATAAAGCTCTAAGGGCTAAAACTAAAACTCTAAAACGTTTAATAAATTCTAGTAAAATTTCTCCTTGGCAGACTCTTGAATTTTGTACTAAAAAGTATTTTATAATTTAAGTCGGATTTGCCATACACAATTGAAAAACAGATGAGGTTCTCCGACCTTTTAAAATGCCGAGGACTTGACGGGTACATATGTACATACCTGGAGGTATTACGTGGCCGGTAACTTTGTGAAATTTATAACGGGAACATCATCATTATCATCTTCTCAGCCTGTCCACTGTCCGCTGTCCACTGCTGAACATAGGCTTCTCCAATTGATCTCCAGTGCGTCCGGTTCAATGCCACATGCATCCAACGGGAACGAACATCCTAAAAAACTTTGTATGGTTCTAGGTTCCAAAGTTTTTGACACAGCTTTAAACATATGATTGCAATTCAGAAAATCCCTTCAATAAAAAACGATGAACAGGTAAACACAAAAGGATGCCTTCCAAAAAGAAAAAACTTTCAAAAAGAAAGGTAAATTCATTTCTTTGGTAGTATGTTATTAAAAATATTTTTATAATTTCATTTTAAAGTGATGCCCGTTCTTTTCCGTAGGTAAAAGTTAAATCTGATTTACTTAGTAAAGGTAAACTGAAATGCTGTCATAACGAAACTAAATGTACAACATCAAATAATTTTGAAAAAACGACACCTACTTCCACTGGAGTAAGTTTCTTTTAGCTTCCAGCTTATTTTTTTGTATTTACTTTTAAAAGGATCAATTTTATTTAAATCCTCCAGTATAAACATTTGATGGGTAGTATAATCGAGTGTTAAGAATCGCGAAGCGTAAACAATCATAGATGCGTTCTGTGTGCTTAGTACGAGTTTTTTAACGTTCTCGATGACGTAAAAGTTAACTCAAATTTGTATGCAGTTGGAACAGTGCCCCTAGCGGCAATCGTAGACAAACGTTCCAACTTCATACAAATTTGATTTAACTTTTACGCTATCGAGAACGTTAAAAAACTCGCACTAAGCATACTGATTTAAAAAGTGTGACCGTCATTTAATATCCATTTCAATTGTGATTTCGATCACAGATCTTAAGGAGGCGTTTACGTTGTGATATCTATGAGCCCCGGTAATAATGTAACATCAACGTAACACGCAATAGATAAATGAGTTTTAAGTTTCATTAAATAATAAAAACTTTTCTTCGACATTCAAGCTAGTACACGTAATGGACATCGAACATTTTAGTTTGATCCACTTAGTCTGGTAGTATATCTAGGACCATCTCTATTACTGTGATAAACTAAAATGTGTTTTATCATAACTATTATCTCTCACTAAACATATATTCAGCGCCATTTTTTTTCTTTACAGATTAAAAGTTCTTTAGACGAAGGAGGACTTAAACGAATTCTTTCTCCTTTTAATAAATTTGCAAATACATCATCAAATCCTCGGAAAAACACGGTCATTAATAGTCCCTATCGGTGTATTGGACTATCATCCAAAGAAAAAAGTTATATTATAAGTAACTGCCAAGCAAGATCTACAAGGTATTCGAAATTGAAAAATATTGCATTAAACGCTATTCAGAATCGCAAAATATTTTCTATCTATGGCCCATGCAATACTATCAGAAAATTATTATTGCAAAGAGGCTGGGTCGAAAAAATTAACCCAGATCATATGAATTTGCTTAAATTAAGAAACGGAAATGTTTCCAACAAGACCGAAATACACGGTGAACTTGAAAGATTGCTGTTATCAAACCTAGTTGAAAGCTATATACCGAATTTCGTTTGGTACAATAAAGAAAACGTTCAAAATTCAAATATAAATGTGAAAGATGAAAACATAACTGTCTGTAACAAATTAAAAATTGATACAGCTTGGACAACAAAACAAGGCCTATGTTCGTTGATAAAACAAAAAGACTGGTTTTACATAGAGAACACTGCAGATGTAATCGTTCCTCGCACTTACAATAGTTACGAAGGCGGTGAAACCGAAGCATTTGTGAATGACTACAAAGTAACTGCGTGCACCGGTTTACTCAAGTGGATACTTTCAATGGTCGCTAACGAGAAGGCGGTGTTTTGTGAGACTGGAAAGATTTCTTTGAACGTTATGGTGTTTGCATTAAATAGATGTAAAGAATATCTGTTCCGAAAACAACATCTAGACATCGATCGCTCTCTGAACAGCGTAAATTCAAATCAATGGAATAACTTCTTGAAAAAATATTATCGCATTGTCTCCAGAAACGAACTATTTCATCTTACTAAAGAAGAAAAAATACCAATTTATTTAAGCTATGCCCAATTTTTACTGAAGGAAATACAAAAGTATCGACCGCAAATTATTTGTGAAGGATATAACAACGTTTGGATACTGAAACCTGCTCATTGCTCTAGAGGTAGAGGAATACGGATTGCTTCCAAATTAGGAGTAATTAATGATTTAATAGCTAAAGCTAATAGCAAATATGTTATTCAAAAGTATATTGGTGAGAATTTGAAATATTTAAATTATGACATTTATGTAATTAATGTTATTCTATCATTACCAATAATTTACTTACAGAAGAGCCTATGTTAATACACGAAACAAAATTTGATATAAGGCAATATTATTTGATTACCAGTACATATCCTTTGATTATTTGGATATATAAAGACTGTTATTTGAAGTTCAGCTCTCAGAAATATAACCTTGGAAACTACCACGAATCTATACATTTAACTAACAACGCCGTACAAAGGAGATATATGAACTGTGAAGAGCGCCATCCCGATCTACCCAATAACAATATGTGGGATTTGGATACCTATAAAGATTATTTAAAGGCAATCGGCAAACCCTCGGTGTGGGATGATTTAATATATCCCGGTATGAAAAAGACAATCACAGGTGTGATGCTTAGTAGCCAAGAAACAATGCCGGCTTGCAAGAATCGCTTTGAACTGTACGGTTGCGATTTCCTACTGGACAAAGATTACAAGCCTTGGTTGATCGAAATCAATGCGTGCCCTGATCTCAACAGTACCACACGAGTCACCGCGAAAATTTGTCCGGCCGTTTTAGCTGATGTCATTAAAGGTTTGATATAAATATCGAAGTAATAACAGTGTTTAGTGTTTTTGTTCAGGACCTATACGGTCGTGCCTCTTTTATCTGATTGAATCGAAACTTATGACAGTTGGCGCGCGAATATATAAATAATATAAAATACTAGCTGTACCCATCCGTTTCGCTGGCAATTTAAAATTAACATTACTATTTTTCACCCCCACAAAGATTCTCATCATGAACGCCCCCGCAACTGGTGTAGGGAGTCCAACACTCATATAAATATTAGCCTATCCATTAAATACATATATTTTCTACATGGATACCAAGTTTCAAGTCAATCGGATGCATGGTTCAGTAGTAATAACGGAACATCCGTAAAAACCACTGTAGATTTATATATTAGGTATAGATAGTATAGATATGTATGGTATAAAAATTGGTGTTTCTCGTACAATGTTTTTCTACTTATCCGTTGGTAGCCTAGGCGGCTATTCCAGCTATGCCGGAAAGGTTAGGTGAGCTAACGGCCTCAACCTGAGAGAATTTGCTAACTCTAGCCCTAGGAATAGCAGTGCTTCGCAGAATCAACCATCAGAATCGCGACCTCATACATTCAACGACGCTTACAGCAAAACTGTTCTGGTTTTACCCACCTAAAAATGCGTTAGTACATATATTATTTTTATTCCAGTTGTGATAGATTATGCTGCTGACAAAAATGCTTCGACCGGCAATTTCGAATGTGCATACCGACAGACAATAACCACACCTAATTACGGCGGAGCTGCTGATTTTATAGTTAAAGGTTTTCCTGTACCTCACGATTATTTCTATAAAGGAAATATAAAATTAGAAGAATCCTTTGAAGACATCGATATGGATAAGCCACGAGACGTTCAAGCTGTATTGAAGAAATTAAAACGGTTTTATAACAGTAGTAACTGTACTGATAGAATGTTACCTCTAGAAAATAATGAGTTGTATTGTGACAAAGACGATATTAATAGAAAATCATCACATAAAACCGTGAGATCGTTTCTCGAAGATGACGCTGAAAATTTGTTCATAAATGATGAACGGAAGGAAATGGAGACTTATTTAGAAAATTTCCCGAATTTCAAATCGCATTTATTCGATAATTATAATTTGTGTTCTGAAACATCTTTGACTCGCTTAAGAAGTACTAAAAGTCTGACTAATATTAAAACACTGATGAAAGAATCAAACGAAACGTTTTTTGGTTCAGCACATTTTGAATCGGATCGGTTGTTTAGTTTTACTAAATTAGACGAAGTTTGTTCTCTGAGTCCCAGTTTAATGGATTATTGAATCTATAAGAAAAAAAAGATGAATTGAAACTCTCATGCGTTTATTTTATTTTTAAAATATTTTAACATTTAATTTATTATTAGTCTTCCATAAACCATCACTGTTTTTGAGCTCACCTACTAGTTAACGTTACGCTGATATAGTCTCTCTAGAGTCTAGACCATCAGCGGATGTAAGAAAAAAAAAACTGAATACTAATTGGGCTGTGAAAACCTTTACCTGCTTATACCAAATAGTTTTACCAGTGTGTCTAAAGAAATAGTTCTTAGATTTTGTTGTTATTCATTACTTTCAAGGACCCTTTTTTAAAGTTGTTTCGTTAAGATTTACTAGCTTAGCAGGTCGGTACTGCAATGTATCTATTTTTTCATTTGGTTTCGAATGTGGGGAACATAGATTATACACTTAATATTTGAGAGAATTCTAAGAAACTACACCTGGCAACTCTCATTATCATGTCAAAATTGCAAATATAATCTGTACGTACCTACTTGATAAAATGCGTGATCCAACCATGTTAGTTTATTAATTCGTAATATTTCGTAAATACAATCTAGTTTTTACACGCGACTGTTAGCACTTGACCAAGCTTGCTAAAAATATGGGACGCTCAAGGTCACGGAGTAAATCGCCTAGAAGACATCACAAAAGTAGTAAACACTCGAGGAAAAAGAGCCGATCAAAAGACCGCTCAACATCACGCAGCAGAAACTCCAAACATGCTGATAAAACGAGAGAACGTAGTTCCAAGTCAAGGTAAGGTTGTTCTCCTACATAAACGTTTAAAAACATTAAAATTAACCTAACAAATTTAATTGCTTAATCAATCTAATTTTTAGAAAAAGGTCACATTCTATATCGTCGTCTAGCAGTAGCGATGCATCGTACGATCATTCGAACAACAGAAAAAAATCCAAAGGACGTAGCAAAATGGATGAAGTCGATAGACTAGCCGAAATGGAAAGACAAAGACGTATAAGAGAAGCTGAACAAAAGGTGATTACAACAAAGTATTTATATTACATTTCAGGATCCCTTAGCAGAGTGCATGGAATGTCTATGTGCTGAGCGGTTAACCAATGTGCATATTTCTCTTCCAAACTGAGCTTAGGTTTATTTTTTAGCCGTCAGTGTAAGTCTGTAAATGGACAGTGTTAATGCTACTTTCCTTAAAAAAACATTAATCACATGAATTTGCTAACTAGAACTATTGCTTAGTTTAACAAGGCTTGTATAAAGCTTAAGGCTAGGGATTTTAAGAAAACACTTCAAAATAAATGATGTCATTAAAAGACTTGTTAGTAATTACTTTTAAAAAATATTTCGCAATCTTTCATGGCCTTAAATTGTCTTATAAATTTAAAATGTAATATTTTTATTGGAACTGTTTCAATGGAGAATTCAACTAGCGCTCACCCAAATTAATTAATTCTCAGGGTAACATGGTGTTGAGTAACTTTATTTTGATATTCCTCAATAATTGTGACCATTCACAATTAGGTACGATGTATGCTGGCTCTCGTGTCTCCCTTTGAAGGCATTAACCCTTTTAGTGCTGAATTTTTTTACATATTTTAGAAATTGCGAAAGGATTTGTGAAAAAAGTTACCTTAGAAAAAATTAAACTAAAAAAACTCAAAAATCAAAAAATACTAAATTCACTGAAAAATAATTTTAAATAGCTATAAATGTTATTAACTTAATAAACACATTATACATGCAGGTGCTAAGATATACTATAGAATATTATCTAGATATACTATAGAAGCTAGGTCATACCAGTTGATACCTAATGGCTAATACCTATAATCAAACGTAGTGCAGTTTTTCAGTTAGTATTCTAATGCTTCACATTTTATACACATTAATAGAGAGTCTATCTATCAACAGTTCACACTCAAAGATAAGTAGTAACTTAATGGGATACATCACTTTTTGGTGTAAATAGGTGATACTTTCATGTCATGAACAACTACCCATATAAGCTGTTCAATTTTACTATCTTGATTAATTATTCAATCAACGTTGTGAGAATTACACTGTCCTTATTGAGCCATTGAATAGATTTTTATTTTTAAATAATGAGTAGAGCTTGCCAAGCTCTCAATGCCAAAAGACCGCTTTGCTGCAAAACAGACAGAATCAGACAACATCCATCTCTATAAGACATTATAAGAAACCAAAAAGTAACTATGTTATTATTATAATAAAGGTAGTGGAAGAAGAAGCTGCAAAAAGAATAGAGTTGCTTGTGAAAAAAAGAGTTGAAGAGGAGTTAGAAAAAAGAAAAGATGAAATTGAACTAGAAGTGGCAAAAAGAGTGGAGGAAGCCAAGCGCAAGATGGAAAAAGAAATGATGGAAGAATTAGAAAAACAACGAGAACAACAAAGACGAGAAGAACAAGCTAGACAGGTAATTAACTTTTGTGTTATAGTCGTGTGCAAACGCAATGGAGGTTGCATTTGCACATGAAGTCACTGCATAAACAACATGCTCTTCACTATACAATAAAACAAATGTGAATTCATTGTGTTATATGTCAACACATTCAAAGAAACTAATAGTATTATTTCGATCATATCTGTTAAAGGTCCGGTCAGGTGTAGTTCGAGTGCTTACAAGAGTATATTTTTTGATGTAATTTTTAACTGACACGTTTCGGAGGCCAATGCTTCCACATAAATATTAAAACTATCTATATATTTATGCACCAACGACGCGGTTAACCCGTTACCTGCCCTTAAGTACGAACGACATGAGTGCGTCAGCTAGCATTTTTAAATTTGTTCGCTTGACTGTCCTTGGCAGTCACGTAGTGTATAAGTCAGGTCAGAAGACTGATCAAGAGCCTGAAGCCCTAAGAATTTTATGGAGACGCTGCTTGAGGATCCTGTCGAGCTAAAGGTATTTCTTGAATTTTTTGTATAACTACACATATTTCTGTTTAAAAGAAAACTCCTATGTTGACACAACAAAATTAAATATATAAATACAGTTTATGAGCAGATCAAAGCAATATTTTCGTAAGACTCAAACAAGTCTGCATCATGCAGTGATCCTTTAGGACTCAAAAATATTGAATATTTAGTTCAGACAAGCTATCATTAGGGGAGCATACTTATTCTCATAAATATATTAGGTATTATTTGATGTAAATGTCTTCTTGAACTTAATTCTTTTTATTAACTCATGGTTTTCATTGAACAGGAGGAGGAGACTCGTAAAAGGAAAGAACTAGAAGACATCATGGCTGAAAATAACAAAAAAATTGAAGAAGCACAGCGCAAGCTGGTAATTACTTATACTTAATCTTACCATTCTGCTAATAATTTGTTCACACATTCTGAGTACATTCTAAAAGCAGTTAATGTCTCTATTATGTATTTATACACATATTTTAAGACGCCAACCTAACTAATTCGAAAACAGACTCAATAAATCTAGAAACTTAAATTTGAGATTTGTTGGGTAACATAAATATTTAAATTTTCAGGCGGAAGAGAGATTAGCGATGATCGAAGAACAAAGAAAAATGGACGAGGAACGACAAAAACTGAAAAAAGAACAAGAGAAGCGGATAAAAGAGGAACAAAAGAAGATTCTCGGCAAGAACAATTCACGGCCAAAGTTGTCGTTTAGTTTGAAACCACTCTCATGATTCTGAAAAAAAAACATTATATTTCAGATGGACACTTAATGCAGTTAAGTAGTTTAGTAAATTTTTAATACCTTAGTAGATTGTCTTTATACATAGTTTGCTAGGAAAGGAAACATATAATCAAATGATTCAAGTTTTAATTTACATCTTTACATTTTAAATTATTGATAATTCTGAGGTCATTCAACAGTTTGGCATGCCCTGACAGGATCCCCCGGTACATATTGCTTTGAAATAAAAGATTACTACTTCTGTGAAAACAAAAAATTTTTTTTTTTGCTCACTGATACCGACTGTAAAGTTACTTAAGAGCATTTGACATTAATTTTTGAACCTTTCATGTTGTTTTCTATTCTAGATTGTTTTTAACATTGTGTTGTGACATTTATCTTTATGGATACATTTCATATATTGAAAATCTATAATTTTAGTATTCAGCTTTGATTCATCTCAAGATGTACCATTACTAATTTATTTAGTTGACTTTATGAAGTTGTAAGGAAAAAGATTGGGTCATAATATTAAAATAACGGATTTCATCTAATTGCCTTTAAGAGATGCCTCATTAAATATTATATTGGTAAACCTGTGAAATACATACTAATTAATAATTTAGTAGGCAGTGTTGTAATATTGATACCTTATTGATACTGTACCTTATTTCTTTATCAAAAATGGTGAATTAGTGTGTGATGTGAAAATATCCATAGAGTTTTGGTACAAACTTAAACTTACATAAGGAATATAATTAAGTAAGAGCCTTATTGTTATTAGTTGCTCTTAAGCCTTTCAATAATTATGTTTCAATATAGGATTCAAAATGAAATGGGGATTTTGTCAAAAAATGATTCAAACAAAATTTTTTTTTTATTAAAAACCTGCGAAACTATAAAAATGTTTGTGGAAACCGAATCCAAATTGGTTTGTATGATTATGTAAAAATTACTTGAGTTGAAACGGCATTGAGCACAATGAGGAATAAATATTTTTTTTGTCAAATATAATACATATAATAATATGTATTATATGCGAGAAAAATCGTTAGAAATACTTAGATTATAAGAAACACAAGGGAAAGATTTACAACTGACAGAGGTCTTGGTTCATTACGCAGACTGTCCAAATGTTTTATTGGGATGGCTGGATAGCGGATCTTCCAAATAAATACCTTGCCCCTTAGCTGAGACGGATTATCCAAAGGTGTTTCTGAACTTGTACACATATGCAAGAATAAAGTAAATTTATCCCTAGGCCAATTCGTGTTTTCGGATGAATTCTATTTTTTGCGAATATAACTACAGCTACAATCACGTTAACAGTTCCAGAAATGCGGTAAAATGTATTTATTGTATGTTTTAGTATGTTTGTACTGTAAAATACATAAGTATCGGCCCTTTTATATACCTACGCTTGTATTATGCGGCTTTTTTCTATTGAAGTTTCGTTGTAAGAATACTGCCCGTTCCGTAGTTTACTGGTATTCTACGAGTAATGCTAACGTCGGTAATGTAACCACCGACTGCTTACTTTTGCCGCAAGGCAAGCGGTTCGGTTCGAAGGTTGGGACAGCGGTAATACCACGTTTATATAACTCACATTTCGACGCATATCTCAAGGTGGATGATGGTGTTCACCTTATTTATGTCTATGGGCTTCGGTAACCATTTAGCGGTAGGCGACTTCGGTTCACTAAACTAAGGAACAAAAAAAAAAAGAGTGAATTCAATAATGATCTAGTTGATTTAAACCTATCATTCTTGTTTTTTTTTAACGGATTGTAACAACCGCCCTAATTATAAAAGGGAATATTGCTATTTTAAATATGGAGTAGATAACAGTGGTGTGTTCGATACATTTACTTTGTGACGTCATAACTGATGCAACATTCTATATATCTTCACAACAACCTTCTTCTGGTTTAAAAAAATTCTAAGTAATTTATTTCTGAAAATGTTTGTAATTCTTCTGACTTAACATAACGTATCGCCTTAATAAAACAGTAAAATAATTGATTTTACAAGATTTTTGTCGATATTGTAATTTTTAAGCTTGTTGAATAAAAAAATATATACAAATGAATCATTGTCATGAAATTATTTAGTTTGCACATTAATTCATTAAACACATCTAAGACATTTTAGATTGATAAGTTTTAAATAAAGGTCCTTAACAAAATAATGGTGTTTTTTATCTTTTAAATGAACCCTTTTGAAAAAATGAAATTGAAGAGTCGGACATTCGAGCAATGTGTTCTCCCTGTGATGGTGTCTGGGGCCGAGACATGGACGCTCACAAAGTAAATTATGACCAAAATTCAAGTCACGCAAAGAGCCACGGAATGGGTTATGCTAGGCGTTTCTCTACGGGATACATTGCACAATACCGAAATCCGCAGAAGAACTGGTTTGACTGACATAGTCAAAGTAATTGCTCGGAAAAAGTGGAAGTGAGCCGGCCACATATGAGTCGACTATTATCAAAGGCGGCAATCTGACTTTTGGACAATGATTGGTAAATCAGAAAAACGAATTATTGACTTTGTATTCCATTGGCAGTCACAAAACTCTTCCGAACGACATCTTAGATAAATAACAGGTTAACTATTAACCTTTATTTAATGCAGGTTTTGAACCGTATTCTTTGAAGGAGACGATTATATTCAAATAAATCTGTATTGACATATCAATATTTTTTTTTTTCCAAATGCACAGATTGCCACCTTTGATAATAGACGACTCATATGTCGTCGCACTGACAATCGGTGGGGCACAAAAGTACTGGACGTCGTAACAGCCTGGCCACGGGACATTCGCCGATGCGAATATTCGCGCGGTGCGAACGGCGAAGCGTCTAGCGACTAACGGCCGTTTTCAATAACGTATCTGAGTTTTCGGATAGATAGCTATCGCCGAATATCAGCAAGATCGTATCTATCCATAATTTGCATTTCACAATCACAGATAAGTGCTATCTCTCTTTAACCAACAGTGGATAGCTTCTTCCCTCCGATTTATCCGAGCCTCTTGATACGTTTCGTTCTACTACAAATACGAAACAACATCAGGATCAAGACTTATTTTATTTTATTCTAAATTATAACTATAATTTAACCAGCATATTGTAGACTATCATAAACACATTTGTTTATAACAAAAAGTAATAAAAACATATGTAGATTTTTTTAAATTGGACGTATTGCTATTTTTATCCTAGTCGAAATTATGAAACGAAACGTTTTGACAGTCCGTTTGCCAATAAGCAGTGATCAGTTTCTTTTGTTTGTTTTTCTATTGTTTACCTACTATATTAGATGATGACTTACCTCCAAAACGCTTTAAAACTTTCGTTTATAATTCTAAGTGTGTTTATAATTAAAGAGCTACAGTGAAATAAAATGAATTCTGTAAGTATCTATGAACTACATTGATAATAATAATTTTACTTTGAAAACTTTGAGTTCAAGTTTAGAAAATATATCTTTTTCAGTCAAGAAAGGCAGCACCCATGACAAAAGAT